CCGCACGCGTAATATGGCCCGTGTGTGAATTGAGAGTATTTTTTATGTAACTGGAAGCTAACGACCACCAGATGGTAAGTGGCAATCGTAAAGTATACAATACAGGAACTGGACTTTAAGTCCGATATGACGTCATTGTACTCGTCACTCGTACTCAGAGTCACGCTCTGAAATAGATTTCTGTAATTTGTGATAAATGTAAAATGTGATAAATGTAATTCTGTAATTAGAATAGAATAGAAATAATTTATTCAAATAAACTTAATTTAAACACTTTTGCATAGTCATAGTTATCCTTCTTTTAACTTCTTCTTCTTTTTACTACTCGGAAAGCTGTCTCATCACAAGAAGAATGAGCCAGAATCTTCTGTGTTGCTCTTTTAAGTAATCGTACAACGATTACTTTACATTTTTAAGTCGAAAAATGTGAACATTAACTACCAACTAGATATAATTTATTGTGGTCAAATATTAAACACAATAAGATTACCGATACGATATTGAAACCTTCAAGAAAAGAGCTTATTCCTTTTTAAAAGGTCGACAACGTACTTGCAATTCCCCTGGTGTTGCGGGTGCTCATGGGCGGCGGTAATCACTTACCATCAGGTGAGCCGCATGCTCGTTTGTCCCCTGTGTTATAAAAAAAAAGATTAAATCAGTCGTAGTGATTAGAGCAGACCAGCTTCAATTTTACTGCTATATCTCCCTTCAATCGAAATAGTTTACAAAGCAAGCTATTTGGAGGCTCCAGTGGGTGTATTTTTAATGCCGAAGTATAAAAAATGATCCAAACAATAAAAAAACATCTAATTATAAGTGATGTTGTATATTATCAGATATTAAAATAGATAACAACGAATAACAACCTATTCTCAGACCTACCGAGTATACATATAAATTTAATCACAATAAAAAACACAAAAGGGACTTGAACAGCACTGCTGGCATCATTTTATCGTCTTCATCATGTAACACCTGCAATGTCATTCCAGAGGAGTAAGATGTTATATCTCTATTGTAATTTTATTGCCTAATCTGCACCCTACAACAGAAACAGCTTACAAAGCAAGCTGCTTAGCGGCTCTAGTTGAAGCAGAGGTTTCTTTATACAACATTGGTGGCAATCAAGCATATTAAGAATTTTTACATATATAGTATAATCTTCTTGGAAAAAGGAAAGGAGTAGACTTTTTACAGTCTACCTCGGTATATACACACACATATATATATATATACTTATATTTAGTCTCCTTCGATCGATCACCCATCCAATTCAAAGTGAGATGGAAATTACGACGGCTTCAGCCGGGGTTACAACCCCTAAAGGTGCCCTCAAACTCAGAGGAGTTGGTCTTCAACCCTATAAGTCCTTCCGCGGATTTGGAGTGCCATCTGCACTCGCCCTTTAACGTTCGCTTTAGCTGTAAAAGTCAGCAGTGCCTAATACTATTAGAATATTTCAATCATATAATTAGTATCTACGACTTTTTTTTATGAAATGAAAATATAATTATCATTAGACTTTTGAGCCGCTTTGAGATACTTTTAAGTTGGTATTCTTTGCATATGTGCAGGTCTGTTTGCCGCTCAACTGTCCCATATTCATTGTTCGTCTCACGGACACATGTTCAGGTGCAGTCCGTCTTTAGATTCACCTAGTTCGAGCACAGTCAGCGGTTTGTTTGCACAAGTATAATATGTTTGATCATTCACCTTTATGATACCAAATTTTGATGTCGTCAAGACCTAATTACATATTTAGCATTTCGCATTACTTCCAAAGGTCGTGAGTTAAATTTTTGCACTATCAAAACATTTGTATACATGAGCAAAAACTTACCATCCTGATCATCTGGATAAATGGCGGTCCTCCACCGCGCGTTTTTTAAGAAACTTTTTTGCCACGCGCAACCACATTGTCGAAACACCTTCTAGTAATAGTATTTTTGAATTGATACAATGAACCTGAACCGATGAAACCTTCAAGAAAAGAGCTTATTCCTTCTTAAAGGCCGCCAACGCACTTGCAATTCTCCTAGTGTTGCGGGTGCTCATGGGCGAGGTGAGCCGCAAGCCCCATGCTGTTAAAATAAATAACATAAGACATGTATGTCAAAGGAGACAATAGATATCTGGGAGCATAACCTAAATAAATTCTTTCTAAAAAAATCGTCAAACAGAGAATTTTAAGTCATGCGCCTCGCTACTGTAGGGACCTAGTAGTTGCCGTTTCATTTATACTAGTGATTGTCTAGTGGTGAAATTGGACCTTAATTAGTTTATTTTATAAGTTTCTCAGAGTTTATACTTCTAAAATCACAGTGTGTGTAATATTTTTTTATTGATTTAATGTATTTTTATGCCTAATTTTTAAAGACAATTAGTCGTATGCACTCATACTCTATAAAAATTACAAGTGTGCGAAATTGCATACTTCTCCATTCGCGCAATCTTTCTCTTTTTCTAATTACATAAAAAAACTACTCTAAACACCAACATTAATCGAAATAGTACATTCTGTTTCCAAAATAAAAGAATTAGTCCTTTAAAGTGATACTATATTCATTGTAATAACCCAAAAACACATTTTTTAATGTTATACAATGTTCAGACATAACTGACGCATGTACTCGAGAATTACACACAGTGTAAGAATCTGAAGGTCGGACCAGGGTTACTTAAGTTATAAATGCAAGTGATCAAACACAAATGTACAATATTTAGGTACATACACATACCTACATGAGTTTTATTCAATTATTGATGAATAATTTCACTAGTCTATATTGGGGTCTGATATCATTGTTGAATTCAGTTGGTAACTGGTTTGAATAAACTGTAGTCTGGCTACGGCTGCAATATCAGAAAACATAAACGTGCTCCACACTGCTAATATGAATTGATGGTCTCGGTGGTTTAGCAGTTTAGTGCACTATACTTCCGAGGGTCGCGGCTTCAATTCTTCATATGATGTGAAGTAAAAAGGACTAGCGGCCCTGTTGCTAGCAATGATATACATTCAGTCAGATTTCCACGCTCTTAACTTTGGCAATTATCATGGTTGAATGCTGGCGGGGCATCATCTTCCACTGCTACCGTATAGCCTCATCCGTCATACTAGTGAACGGGTGCTGCTTGTAGGGACTGGTCTGCTCTAATCACTATGACTGATTTCCTCTTATTAATTGTTTAACCAGTTGGTTATATATTCAATATTTTTTCTATTTGAGTATTTAATTGACTTAGTGCTAATTGGTGATTTGTATTCACACACTTAAACTTAAAAATGTAAAGTAATAATAAAATTATTTAAAAGAGCAACACGCATGTTTCTTGCTCGTTCTTCTTGTGATGTGACAGCTTTCCGAACGAGCGGTAGATTAAAAAAATGTAACGACTATTCAAAAGTGCTTCAATGTAAGTTTATTTGAATATGTGATTTTCTATTCTATTCTATTCTATTCTATTCTATATACACTATCGTTAGTGTTACCCCAACCGATGGAACATATGATGTTACCCGATAGATGTAACAGATGGAACCCGTCAAATTCAAACGGGGATCGAAATTATGACGGACTGGGCCGAGGTTCGATCCCTTAACCATGTCACCAGACTATAGTCATATCCATCAGGCAGGAATTGGCTTTCAGCCCTCCGTGTTTGGAGTGCCTGTCTAATCTGCACCTGTCCCCTAACATTCGGTGAAACAGTAAAGGTTAGCTGCGGCCAATGTCATTAAAATAGTTCGAAAAAAAGGTCTTTGATCACCATTTGATCATCAGCCATCCATACTAATCTATACCATAATATTTTGAAAAAAAGAGGGACCATTTGTTCATCAGCCATCTATACCAATATTATATATTCTCAAATGTCTGTAAGTTTGCTACTATTTTACGACTAAATACTACACGGATCTTACTAAAATTTGGTATGTCGATAAATTGCACCTATCAGGCGAATGGACTTCTAAAAAAAGGCAGACAAGTCTAGAAATCGCGGATAACTACAAGTTAAAAATAAGCATTTTTACATTACATGTTTTATTTAAGTATGCATCAACATGTAACCAGTTGAATTAATAATAAAGTTGAATTAATAGTGCTCAGTGCACAGACATTAAAGTTCCGTCAAGCTCAAACTGATTACCCCCCAGACCAGACCTAGGACTATAATTGAACATAACGATCTAATTAAGCACATCCCTACGCGTAACTTGATTACTTGTTTGCACAATAATAAATTTTGCTTAACTAGACATATCTACTTTAATTTTAATGGAATTAGTGCTTATCAATTATTAGGTATACAATTACATTGATAGCAAATAGAAATTTGAAAATTTACTCACAATTGATGTAGTTATTAGAGAGATAGATACAAAAGATAGAGTCGTATTGAAGACTTCCTTCATTTTGAAGATAAAAAATGTATTCTAATTGTGTGAATGAAACTAATAATATAATCTTATTAATATTCTAAATGCGAAAGTTTGTGAGTATGGATGGATGTTTGTTACTCTTTCAGGCAGAAACTACTGAACGGATTTTGTTGTAACTTTACAGTAATATAGCTTATACAGCAGTATGACATATAGGCTATACATTTTATGTGAGTGAAACCGCGGGCACAGCAAGTATTTAATAAGTAATAATGATATTAAATAAATTATGAGTTTTACAAATTCCACCGAAAGAAAGAAAAGGGAAATTGAAGAGCACAGAAGTGTTACGTAACTATAAATTTGGGCCAACATAATATCAGCGTTAGAAATTATGGATGTAACAAACGTGTATCAAAGACACAATGTACACAAAGCAAAAAGCGTTAAAATGAGCGCAATAAATAAACATTTAGGTGAAGAATCCACTAATAACGTAACGGAAGCACTATCGATCTAAGTGGTTGGGCAAACGTGCGCGCGCGCCGCTTCGTGTGTTTGCCCATTGATAAAGCTCGCAATTTTAGCTGTCAGTCGAGAGCGTGCTGTCGAGGGAATCGCTCCTCATTTCGGTGCGCTGCTGAGCGCGTTATCGTCCATACATACCATCCGGTCGTACCATCGGCATCTGACTTGGACATTCACGTACCCCGCGCACTACTTTGGGTGCCCTCCAAGGAAACCAGTGGCATGGTAATTTGTGATATATACTCTTCAGGATAATGCTCATTTAATTTTGTCTGGACGGATCCTGGGTGTTTGCCGCCTATTGTCTCAAATAGAGCTAGAGATAGGTATCGTATAATATTACGTAATGAGACTGAAAAGTATTTCATGTATTTGTTTAATATTTTTATGTTAATTACGGTTAAATTTAGTATAACTGTTTTAATTAATTCGAAAGTTCACAACGTTAATTTTTTTAAATTATTATATGTAACTTTTGAATTATTATTTCAACAGTGTTTTAATTACAAATTGTTTCTATAACCGTTAAGTTCAACATAGAGCTTTTGTTCTTTGTAATGATTTTTATATTTCATACGATACAAGCTCTATGTTTAAATCTATTAGTTACAAAATGGATATATCTGAACAATTAATAGAATGATGTGCTTATACATATTAATAATAAATAGCACGATTCCTACATCCTCCGTAAATAGGGCCAGGGTTATACGCTGGTCTGCCTGTTATCAGAGTAGGAACAGTGCGAAGGCTAGTGATTTGCGCAATCACGGCGAAACATATCACGTCCGTCACTAAATTCAGTTGTGTGGGAATCCTCATGTCCCTATTATAACTATTTATTGTTCTAAATAATATGTTATAAACAGGACAGTTGCTGTAAGCAACCACCTGTTTGCAATGCACGTTGCATCATCATCTACACATACGACGGTAGGGAAAAATATTAGTACAAAAAATTTGACGTTCATAAGCGGGTGGGATGACCTAATGAATAAATGATTTTTGATTTGATGTATACATAATTTGATATATCGCTATTTAGATATTTGTTTATTCAATATTAAAACATCCATCTTCAATGCTTCTTTGCATCGTTATCTCTAATAAATTGAGATTATTCTGGACTATATTTCTATCATATAATTTTGATTACACCAAATAGTCTCCTCTAAAATATTGGCAATACTGCCTCGGATCTGCTCTACAAATGTTACTCGTTATATTATATATATATTATTATAGGATATAGGCATTAAAAAGATCATTGTATATGTGTAAATACTTACTAGTGTTAATCATTAATATATACAACTTGATACGTTGCTATTCTGATATGTGTTTATTCAAAATTAAAAAGTCCATCTTCATTGCATATTTTTCCCTAATCAATTGTGATTATTCTGGGCTATAATTCTATTTAGGACCAATACCATCAAGCCTATTAATCTTGTTTTAGACTATGTTGACAAAGCATCCGACTTTATGTATAGAATAAAATGACATAATCACCTAGCTTACGACTTAGTAGGTAAAGCTATCTGAGATCATATGGAATACCTACAAAATTAGTCTTATTACTGTAATGTTATAAACGCGAAAGTTTGTGTGTATGGATGGATGGATGTTTGATACTCTTTCACGTAAAAACTTTACAGTAATATAGCCTAGAAATCAGAATAACCTATAGACTACAAATTTCATGCGAGCGAAAACACGGATTCACACATTCTGCAATAAAAGACACAGAGATACCAAACTATCTCTTCCAAAATACTAGAAATACTACTTCGAATCTGCTCTACAAATGTTACTCGTTATATTTCTACCTCGACTAAAAGTTTTAAACAGTATAAATATTAAAAGGTCATTGTATGTTACTAGAGTCATTTAAAAATATTTTGATCATATAAATCGATTGTAACTATAAAAAAATGTTAAAAAGATGTATCTTTTCATCTCTACTTATGGTCTCTTCACTTTAAAAAGAGCTGTTTTGTAAACCTAGACTTCTGTATATGTGCCTTTTATTGCATAATGTCTGAGTCCGCGTTTTCACTCGCATGAAATTTGTAGTCTATATGTTATTCTGATATCTAAACTATATTACTGTAAAGTTTTTACGTGAAAGAGTATCAAACATCCATCCATCCATACACACAAACTTTCGCGTTTATAACATTATAATAATAATAATATAATAATAATCTCAGGACAATTCACACAGCGCCATCTAGACCCAAGTTAAGCTAGCTAAAGCTTGTGTTATGGGTACTAGATAACTGATACAAGTACATAGATATTTTTTTCGTAAATACATACTTATTATACATAGAAAACACCCAGACCGATACAAACAATCATACTCATGAATACAAATGTTTGTGCCGTGCGAGGTATCGAACCAGCAATTTACATTAACAACACTAATTTTGTAGGTATTCTATATGATCTCAGATAGCTTTACCTACTAAGTTGTAAGCTAGGTGATTATGTCATTTTATTCTATACATAAAGTCGGATGCTTTGTCAACATAGTCTAAAACAAGATTAATAGACTTGACGACATTGGCCCTAAACACCTATTGCAATGCAAACCAATTCTCCATTGTGCTCTAAGTTTTACTGTAAGTCGTTATGAATTACAACCGGCACTTAACTGTCCGTTTAAGCTATTGTCATAGGTGTGAATATTATAGCATTTTAGAACCTGAAATCATAACTAAGGCTCTATCTTGTATGTGTTGAAAGGTTATTGCTTAAGTACTGAATATGTAAATCCTTATTGCTAGTGTAGATACAAGTGTTACAAATACTCTGAATTACGAATGAAATATGTAAGTTTTATGTCAACTTATTGTATAAATATTTTACTACTTATTAATATTATAAACGCAAAAGTTTGTAAGTATTGATGGATGTTTGTTACTTTCACGCAATCTACTTATCGAATTTTGATGAAACTTTACAGTAATATAGTTTATACATCAGAATAACACATTTGCTATAAATTTGAATAGATATTATGTAAATTGAACGAAATATAATGATTAAGGTCACGTAAGTGTGATGCAGACGAATTCTGTGTGGCCAGCTAGTAAAATTATTATAAACTACTAGCTGTCCCGGCAAATGTTATTTTGCCTTAAAATAAAAAAAAATTAGGCGTGGACTACCCCTAACATTTAGGGGGATGAAAAATAGATGTTGGCCGATTCTCAGACCTACTCAATACACTCATAAAATTTCATGAGAATCGGTCAAGCCGTTTCGGAGGAGTATGAGAACGAAAACTGTGACACGAGAATTATATATATAAGATTACAGAAGAGCTCGTGTTCGTGAAGAATAAGTCTTCCTTCGTGTCTTCTACATATTCTCAATGCAATGATATTCATATACAGTATCATCTATATGTGTATATAATTCTCGAATCACAGTGTTATTAGCCTTACTTCTTTGAAACGGTTTAATCGATTTTGATGAATTTTTTTATGTATTTGTATATATAATAATAATAATCTCAGGACAATTTACACAGCGCCATCTAGTCCCAAGTTAAGCTATCTAAAGCTTGTGTTACGGGTACTAGATAACTGATACAAGTACATAGATTTTTTATCCGTAAATACATACATATTATACATAGAAAACACCCAGACCGAAACAAACAATCATACTCATGAATACAAATGTTTGTACCGTGCGAGGAATCGAACCCGCGACCATCGAACGTAAAGCGGTGTGCTAGACCGCTAGACCACCGAGGTCGTCGTCGATTTATACTCGGCAGGTCTAAGAAGACGTTAAGAATTATTTTAATTTTGGTAAATTTTTTTTGTGAAATATGATACGCCAATAAATAAGATACAATCTTAAAATGTCTTCCTTCTATTATCTTATATGGCAAAACAACGTGTATATGATCAGCTAGTAAATGATAAAATTCTGAAGAGAAACACTCATTATTTGATCATCGCATCTCTATAATATTAATATTATTTTAATATATATATCATTTACATAACTTAATTGTACAACTACAACCTAAAATTAAAAAGCTTAAAGAATATAATACAATAACTAAAATATATTATTAAAAGGGGTCCCTTTAGGCAAAGTTCCGAAGATCCTGGCAGCGTTCCCTCTTTGAATGGCTAGACTAATTCTTTGTCCAAGGTAGCTGCCAGCTCTTCGGTCTTCTGTGATGTCGACTAACCTTTTCGTTATTTCTTTGAAAAGTCTTATAGCGCTAGGACCCCACGGACCAAGGGTCTCGACACCGAATGGGACAAAATCATATTCGGAGCCTAGACTATTTTAATTTAACATAATAACTACTAGATGGTAGTTTGCATTCACACATTTCAACTTAAAAGTTACAAAAATTATTTAAAAGAGCAACACACAAGTTTCTTGCTCGCTATTTTGTCATGATGCAGGTTTCTGAATATGCGGTGGATTAAAAAAATTACTATGACTATTCAAAAGTGTTTAAATTAAGTTTATTTGACTTAAGGATTTTCTATTCTATTCTATAAATATGTAAGTTGGTTGTACTAACTACTAAGGTACTAGACAAAGGTCAGCCTAGTCTTCTAGTCTTAGATCTAAATGGGATTTATATTTAACGAGCTTTTGCCTGCGGCTTTGCTCGCGTTTATTTATCCCCTTAGAGGTGGAATTTATCAAAATTCTTTCTTAGGAGATACCTACGTCATAGTAACTTTATGCATGTAAAGTCTCAGCCCGATTGGTTTAAAATTGAGAAAGTTTCATACAAACTTTCATCCCCTATTTTATCCCCTTGGGGGTAGAATTTATCAAAATCCTTTCTTAGCGGATGCCTACGTCTTAACATCTACCTGCATGCCAAATTTCAGCCCGATCCGTCCAGTGGTTTGGGCTGTGCGTTGATAAATCACTATGTCAGTCACCTTTGAGTTATATATATTTAGATTTTGCATACATTTCTGAATTTACAAGGAACTGTACTTACTTCGTCTTGATTATAATTACTGTCTGATAGTTCTATATTAGTTTACTACGTAAACTTAGGCTATCCTTACATAGTACAAAACAAAGTCGCTGTCGCAGTCTGTCCCTATGTATGCTTGAATCTTTAAAACTACGCAACGGATTTTGAAGCGATTTTTTTTAATAGATAGAGTAATTGAAGAGGAAGGTTTATATATATATAATAGATGTATACCCGTGCGGAGTCG